GCTAGAACCCAAGTAAATTGTGATCAATCGACATGAATCATGCTATGAGTGTTGATTGGGTAGGTGGAGTGTCACGTGACAAGATGTTCCTGAACTGTTTCCTCTTCAACTGGTGTTGTACCAAGCAATGTCTCACCTCTGTCGGGGAGTGAACATTCTGGAAGGGCAGATACAGGAACAGTGGTTGGTTCTTGTCATGGGTGTTGATGACGTCAACGATCTTCACTGTGAACACCCACTGGATCGTGATCATGAGAAGAAGCAGAAACGAATGGTAGCATTAGTACAGATCGAAACCCCACTGACAGCAACATTTCAGTGTTTCTGTGGACAATACAAGGGGCCTGGTATTGATCGATAGAGGCCACTTGTCTAGCACCAAACACTTCTAGGTCAGAAGGAAAACAAAGTGAGAGAAGCGATTGACCCGTGAAGATCCAGGGTAGAACAGGTCTTCAGCAACCCATGCTTGCCGTAAAAGGCGACAAGCGGGATCGGGTGGTCAGGCTCGTTGACTTGGTTGATGCATGCCATCGTATCCTAAATTGCGTGTACCGAGGATCATGATGTCAATTACTGGAGTGTCTGGTCCAGATTCGATTATTTTCAGAGTGCGGCGTTAAACAACACACAAACAAATAAAACCAGCACGGTGTGACGTGCCACGTTGATAGACCCGATTAAGCACATGACTTACATTAGACTAAAGATAGATTTCACCGAGAATGACGTTAAGGTATCCTTGTTTTGAACTTTTAAACTTAATGCAACATATGTAAACCAGTCTTACCGCTGTAAACATATCAATCTTTTGACTTGTACATTTGTTTTTCGAGCTAAGTGAATGGAAATAAACGTTTATTTTAGTTTCACAAGTTGGTTTGATAATTGATTTGATCGTCCAAAAGACTTAAGTGCAATATCTACCCTATAGTGAAAGAAATAGTAGACTACACCAATGACTAGACAAAAATAATAATGCCTCATAGTGTTGATACAAAAGAATTTGCCTGCCACAAAAAGTATATTGTTTCACTGTGTTTTTCTTAAAATAAACTTCAGAGTCATAGGTTTAAATACAAAATACCTGGTAGTTGAAAAATATCTTATCACGATTCTAAATCCCTCCTCCCTCCAGATACTGTAACATGATACACAGCGATTCCCTAACTCTACCCAGTACCAGTCCCTATCCCAACGAGACACAACCAAGGTTTGGGCTAGATTTAGCACGAACGAAACTAGGATAGTTGACGAGATAGTTGACAAGAGCCTCCTCAAGTTAGTCCAGATCATTTAACACGATACACATGGTGACACACCCATCCCTGACTCTGCCCCTTCCAATCCTCATCCCTATCCCGACGACAAACAACCAAGGCTTGGGCTAGATTTACTGTCACTGATGGCAAACGAACGAAACGAAAGAGAATATACGGGACAGTTGACACTACCAAATGGGCATATGGTAAGAGTACGCCTTGTTGTGGCATACATACTGTTCAAAGAAACTTAACACATAACTCACTCACTCACTCCATTGTTATCACCAAAGTGATAAACGTCTTAGACCTGCATCACTTCAGGGGACGGTCGGGTAGCCTTGTGGTTAAAGCGTTCGCTCGTCACCCCGAAGACCCGGGTTCGATTCCCCACATTTCGGGTGTTCCCCGCCGTAATATCGCTGGAATATTGCTAAAAGCAGCGTAAAACGATACTCACTCACTCACTTACCTGAAGACCAGATTTGAAGGGAAAAACCGCAGACATAAATGCACTTCGGGAGCTGAAACATACGGACACTCGTCATGTGCAGTGAGTTTGTTATGAATGGCTGTTTTTTCTGTGTGCTGTGAATCGAAGTAAGAGTTTTGGCTTTGAATTTGACCATCAGCGTTTGTAAAGCATCGTTTGAACAGTATTCCACTTACTTTTGCCCGCCAGTATATGTGGAGTTAAACATGTTACATTGAATGAACTGTTTCAATATTCTTGTGAAATAGACGTTGAATGACACTCACGTACTGCACAGCGGCTGTACATAGTTCCTGTCCAGTATCACACCATCTCGCGCCATTTTGTCCATATTAGGAGTCAGCATGTCACCGTTCCGGAAGCCAACATCGTTCCAGCCTGCAACAACCAACCTCTTCTCACGGACCTCTGTGTTCGATAGCTGTACATGTATATTAACACGACAGTTGCTTTTATGTTAGTTACTCTGGTTTGTAAAAACAACAAGATGAAAATTGAGACTTGGAGAGTTATTATATTTCGTCATATCATATGTCTACCGAAAAAGATTCCACTGGGCCTTTAAGACACAATAGTAGTGAAAATTATATGAATGGATCACTGAAAATCTGTGATGACACGAGGTGTTCGCGCAAAGCGGTAAGCATGTTCTGCCCGACAGGCAGCACCCGCCACTAACACTGGCTGAAGAAAATAGAAGTGTTTTTCCTTGAACCTGCCCAACAGTCATCCTGTCATATGAGGGACAAGGGTGGTCCAGTCGTCTGGGGCGCCGCAGTTCACTGTAGAGTCCCTTCGACACCCAAGACACCTATGACTGTGGGTTCGAATCCCTGTTTGCCCCGATAATGTTTTTAGTTTTGTCAGCACCATACCCATGCTGGTTGGTTTCACCAAAGTGGTAAACGTCTGAGACATGCATCACTTCGTGCTCTCCTCCCATATGAAGCTGACATGCTAAAGGTTATACGCCTCAAAGCGGAGTTAATTCCCTTACTCACTCCTGTTATACGAGGACGGCTTAAGGTTACAAAATAATGTTATCCTATCATGATGTCCTGGGTATAAAATATAAATAGGAAAACATATTGGACCCCTTAGTGAATTCCACGATCAATGACAACTTTGGGTCCTACATCAATGAGAGACCCGTGAAGATCCGGTCTTCAGCAACCCATGCTTGCCGTAAAAGGCGACTATGCTTGTCTTCAGAGGCGACAAACGGGATCGGGTGGTAAGGCTCGCTGACTTGGTTGATACATGTCATCCATCCCAATTACGTTGATCGATGCCCATGATGTCAATCACTGGATTGTCTGGTCCAGACTCGATTATTTACAGACGCCTCCATATAGCTGGAATATTGGTGAGTGCGGCGTTAAACAACAAACAAACAAACAAACATCAATGAGGTGAATCAGGATGGTTTCCCTGGACATTTGCCCTCCAAAGACCTACAGGTGGAAATAGCACCATGACGTCACAAACAGATAATACGGGGGACGACATAGTACATATCACCAACAGTGTACTTAAACAATCAGACACTGGCTAAGGTTACTGAACCGGTGCACTTTAAGACTGCCAACAGGCAAACGCAACCTCTGTCCGCAACATGCTGTCCTAACACAGGTCAGTGTCACGACCTCTGTCGTCTGTCCTCATGGTCCGACAAACTTCGTAGGCGTGTTTCTCATTGCTTACTTCAAGCGCTGCATCCGTCTCATTTTGAGGTTAATACTGGCTGGGGTATTTTCAGAACGGCAATATATCCTGTAGTATTGACAATTGCTCCAAGATCTGGATACGGCCATGCCACACATGCGTGGCTGCAATGGGCCACGATTAATTAAAATGCTGCCCACAACGGTGTAAATCACAACTCATTTACCCAATTCCCCCAATCAAGCCACTGGTTCGGCCGTTAAGACTGTTAACTGACCAAATCTATTAGCTATTAGGTCGTGCAGAACTTCGTCAATCTGATAACTCAACATACACTGTAGGGCAAAATAAAGTATACACTTGAACATTGGATATCACCAAAAGATTCCAAACATTAACAAATGTTTAGTCTGAAAACAGGCCGAAAAACTCCAAACGTGAGGTCCAAAATACCCGTATCAAATACATCAACATTTTGTTCATTCTTAGACACCAACAAAGATGGGTGTATACTTTCGTTTGCCTGGCAGTTTATCTTGTGTTTCGAGATATTCGAAGATACAGTTACAACTAACCCATTAGAAAAGGGTTTATCTTTCATAGACTTTACCTAGATCATCCATGACGATGAATACAATATTTGGTCGCTGTGCGAGAACACCGCCAATGAAGGCGAAGAGTAGGGCTGCTACTACTGTCGACATCATAGTGACTTCGCCTTCAGCATCCCGTCTCAACTACAATATGTCTGGAAACATTTTCACAATATCTGGGGACTTGATATGGTGTTATCGGGGCAGACAGTGATATTATCAAGTGCAGGTGCAGGCTACAAATCACGTCATATAGTCACGGTGACAACCTTGCCACGTGTGACATATATGTTTATAACGAACTACGGTTTTAACGAACTAAAATTAGTGGCCCCTTTGAGTTTGTTATAACCATAGAATACTCTGTTTAGTATATCTCTATTTTGCCATTTTTGCCTAAAGGTCAATTGATTTGTTGCAGAAATCATGTTTCAATATTGCAACATCACCACAACATGTCTGTCGTTCATGCCGTCACGTCTTAAATTACCCAATTTAATATATAAATATACCCGTGAAGATCCAGGGTAGATTAGGTCTTCAGCACCCCATGCTTATCGTAAAAGGCGACTAACGGGATACGGTGGTCAGTCTCGCTGACTTGATGCATGTCATCGTATCCCAATTGCGTGGATCGGTGCTCCTGATATTAATGACTAGATTATCTGGTCCAGATTCGATTATTTACAGACCGCCGTCATACAGCTGGAATATTGCTGAGTGCGGTGTTAAAGAACAAACCAAGCCCTTTTATATTAATATATTAGATTGGGTAATTGTAGAAGAGTTGCTGCATACGACAGGAAAAATAAACGTGTAACACCGACCTAAATACCCCCTTTGAACCATGTTAATATGGCGTGGTATCTATGCCGATTTCACACTTGTCAAGGTTGTCACCGTCCCTATATCACGTGATTTGTAGCCTGCACCTGCACTTGATAATATCACTGTCTGCCCCGATAACACCATATCAAGTCCCGAGATATTTTGAAAATGTTTCCAGACATATTGTAGTTGAGATGGGATGCTGAAGGCGAAGTCACTATGATGTCGACAACAGTAGCAGCCCTACTCTTCGCCTTCATCGGCGGCGTTCTCGCACAGCGACCCAATATTGTATTCATCGTCGCGGATGATCTAGGTAAAGTCTATGAAAGATAAACCTTTTTCTTATGGGTTAGTTGTAACTGTATCTTCGAATATCTCGAAACAAAAGATAAACTGCCAGGCAAACGTTGGTGTCTAAGAATGAACCAAATGTTGATGTTTTTGATACGGGTATTTTGGACCTCACTTTTGAAGTTTTTCGGCCAGTTTTCAGCCTAACGTTTGTTAATGTTTGGAATCTTATAGTGATATCCAATGGTCAAATGTATACTTTATTTTGCCCTACAGTGTATGTTGAGTTATCAGATTGACGTAGTTCTACACGACCTAATAGCTAATAGATTTGGTCAGTTAACAGTCTTAACGGCCGAACCAGTGGCTTGATTGGGGGAATTGGGTAAATGAGTTGTGATTTACACCGTTGTGGGCAGCATTTTAACTATTCGTGGCCCATTGCAGCCACGCATATGTGGCATGGCCGTATCCAGATCTTGGAGCAATTGTCAATACTACAGGATATATTGCGGTTCTGAAAATACCCCAGCCAGTATTAACCTCAAAATGAGACGGATGCAGCGCTTGAAGTAAGCAATGAGAAACACGCCTACAGTGTTTGTCGGACCATGAGGACAGACGACAGAGGACAGAGGTCGTGACACTGACCTGTGTTAGGACGGCACATGGCTGACAGAGGTTGCGTTTGTCTCTTGGCAGTCTTAAAGTGCACCGGTTCAGTAACCTTAGCCAGTGTCTGTTTAAGTACACTGTTGGTGATATGTGCTATTTCGTCCCCCGTATTATCTGTTTGTGACGTCATGGTGCTATCTCCACCTGTAGGTCTTTGGAGGGCAAATGTCCAGGGAAACCATCCTGATTCACCTCATTGATGTTTGTTTGTTTGTTTGTTGTTTAACGCCGCACTCACCAATATCCCAGCTATATGGAGGCGTCTGTAAACTATCGAGTTTGAACCAGACAATCCAGTGATTGACATCATAAGCATCGATCCACGCAATTGGGATACGAGCACATGCATCAACCAAGTCAGCGAGCCAGACCACCCGATCTCGTTAGTCGCCTTTTTACAGCATGCATTGGTTGCTGAAGGCCTATTCTACCCCGGATCTTCACGGGTCCCTTATTGATGTAGGACCCAAGGCTGTCATTGATTGTGGAATTCACTAAGGGGTCCAATATGTTTTCCTATTTATATTTTATACCCAGGAAATCATCGTAGGATAACATTATTTTGTAACCTTAAGCCGTCATCATATAACAGGAGCGAGTAAGGGAATTAACTCCGCTTTGGGCCGTATTACCTTTATAACAGCGTGTCAGCTTCATGTGGGAGGAAAGCACGAAGTGATGCATGTCTCAGGCGTTTACCACTTTGGTGAAACCCACGAGCATGGGTATGGTGCTGACAAAACTAAAAACATTATCGGGGCGAACAGGGATTCGAACCCACAGTCATAGGAGTCTGGGGTGTCGAAGGGACTCCACAGTGAATTGCGGTGCCCCAGACGACTGGACCACCCTTGTCCCTCATATGACAGGATGACTGTAGTGCAGGTTCAAGCAAAAAACCTGCTATTTTCTTCAGCCAGTGTTAGTGGCGGGTGCTGCCAGTCGGGCAGAACATCTTTGCCCCTTTGCGCGAACACTTGGTGTCATCACAGATTTTCAGTGATCCATTCATATAATTTTCACTGCTATTGTGTCTTGAAGGCCCAATGGAATCTGTTTCGGTAGACATATGATATGACGAAATATAATATTTTAACTATCAAAGTCTCAGTTTTCATCTTGTTGTTTTTACAAACCAGGGTAACATAAAAGCAACTGGCGTTTTAGTATACATGTACAGCTATCAAACACAGAGGTCCGTCAGAAGATGTTGGTTGTTGCAGGCTGGAATGATGTTGGCTTCCGGAACCGTGACATGCTGACACCTATTATGGACAAAATGGCGCGAGATGGTGTGATACTGGACAGGAACTATGTACAGCCGCTGTGCAGTCCGTGAGTGTCATTCAACGTCTATTTCACAAGAATATTGAAACAGTTCATTCAATGTAACATGTTTAACTCCACATATACTGGCGGGTTAAAGTAAGTGGAATAGTGTTCAAACGATGCTTTACAAACGCTGATTGTGACAGTGATTGTCATCCATAACAAACTCACTGCACATGAAGAGTGTCCGTATGTTTCAGCTCCCGAAGTGCATTTATGTCTGCGGTTTTTCCCTTCAAATCTGGTCTTCAGGTAAGTGAGTGAGTGAGTATGGTTTTACGCCGCTTTTAGCAATATTCCAGCAATATCACGGCGGGGGACACCAGAAATGGGCTTCACACATTGTGCCCATGTGGAGAATCGAACCCGGGTCTTCGGCGTGACGAGCGAATGCTTAAACCACAAGGCTACCCGACCGTCCCCTGAAGTGATGCAGGTCCTAGACGTTTATCACTTTGGTGATAACAATGGAGAGATGGAAAGCTCAAAAGGATTTAAAATACTTACATCCTCCTTGGCATGTATTAGTAATTCGAACCACCGACCAGATGATCATGTCATAACCAAGGGAGGCAACTTGACCATCCGAGCCTGGATAGAGTTGAAACCGACATATTTGAGTGATCTTAACACTATTTAATGCAGGCACTTATAATTTTCGTTAACGAAGTATCTGTAGTATAAAGTTATACAATATTCTATTATATATCAAAAATATATTTAAATATTATATACGAGCAGAAGAAAGGAACCGTGCTTCATATGAAGTGATGTAAATGTTATAAGATATGATAATCCGTCTGATCAATGTTTTATCATAACATGTTCGTTAACAAAACCCATACCCAGGTGAGGGTAACGACTCAATGAACAATGTCAATATCAGGTGCATCCACCACACAGGCGAGGCAGTAGCGGAGTAATGAGAACACCAAATGATTGCAAACAGCCTCGGGGAGAGGTCAGGAGAATAGCCTGCCATGGCAGTACTGCAATGTTATGCTGCCTCCAACAGTCTGATACAACACGTGGAACATGTTGGCGGGCATTGCCACGCAACAATGTGACGTTATAATTACCTCCCTGCATTTGAACCAAGGGGAGAACATGATCTTGAACGATGTTGTCCCGGTTGGGTGCGTCATTCAAATTTCCATGACCAATGGTGAGTTGTGTTCACCCAAGAGTTGTGGTGTTACCCATACCAGTACACTTCTACCCCTAAACCGACAACGTTGAGTAACGCAAGCGTCGATAGAACGTTCTCCTTGATGCCTTTAGATCCTTGCACCACCATCAGAGCTGTCCAGCTGAAACCTGGACTCATCTGTGAACAGTATACTGTCCAAGTCTTGTCTTCTGAACCCCAGATGCTGTCTACACTATGCTAGAGGTGCTAGATGGTGTCGTGGAAGTTAGATCGGGCGTATCACTGGACATGGAGATGGGTATTGTGCTCCCTCAACCGGTAGCATACAGCTCTGCCACTAATTGGTTTCAACCAAGGCATTGACCGAGCTGTTAGGTATTTGATATTCTGGGAAGGGTGGCGGGTCCTGGATTTTTATCGAAAAAAATAAATTGTCCCAGAACATTCTTGAACCAAAATAATTATGCCTCATTGTGTTGAAACAAAACGAATTTGCCAGAAAAAAGTACATTGATGCAACAAAATAAACTTCAGACTCATAGGTTTAAATACAAAATACCTGGTAGCTGAAAAATATCTAATCTCGACTCTAAATCTCTCACTCACTCACTCACACACTCACACACTCACACTCACACACACACACACCCACCCACTCACACCCTCCCACACCCTCCCACACCCACACCCACACCACACCCACCACACACACCCCCACACCCACACACACACACACCCCACCCCCCACCCCCCCCCCCCACACACACCCAACCCCCCCCCCCACACACACGCCCCCCACCCCCAACACCCCCCCACACCCCACACACACACCCACCCACCCACCCACCCACCCACCCACCCACCCACCCACCCACACACACACACACACACACACACACACACACACACACACACACACACACACACACACACCCACACACCCACCCACCCACCCACACACCCACACACACACACACACACACACACACACACACACACACACACACACACACACACACACACACACACACACACACACACCCACCCACACACCCACACACACACACACACACACACACACACACACACACACACACTATTGAATTTTAAATGAAGCTTGGTTACTGTTTTGGGTTAGTTTTTTTATGAATATATTCTTTAATAATATTTTTTTCTAGTTACATTTGTTATGCATTATATGATAAAACAAGAATCGTTAAACTCTCGGTAGCTATTATGAATAGATAAGTATAGTTATGAGCTTTACCAACAACGTTAAAACGTCACACACGAGACGTCATCTGACCTGGTCGACTGAGAGTTATCTCCCATTGCAGCACGATATGATAGGTCATAATCAGGCTGTGTGTTTCCCACTAAATTACACACTTCTACCCCAAGAGCTGAAGAAGTTAGGATACGCAACTCACATGGTGGGGAAGTAAGTTGTGGCAGACACCATGACCGTGTTTTCATGTAGTATACAGGATGTCTTCTGAGCTGTGATAGTTGACATGACAGTTGATATGACAGTGATTCACGGCAGGTGAGTTCAGATCCATTAACATGATACACAGCGATTCCCTAACTCTACCCAGTACCAGTCCCTATCCCTATGAGACACAACCAAGGTTTGGGGCAGATTTAGCACGAACGAAACTATGATAGTTGGCGTGATAGTTGACATGAGCCTCCTCACGTTAGTTCAGATCATATAACACGATACACATGGTGTCACACCCATCCCTGACTCTGCCCCTTCCAATCCCCATCCCTATCCCCACGAGATACAACTGAGGTTTGGGCTAGATTTACTGTCACTGATGGCAAACGAACGAAACGGAAGAGAATATACGAGACAGTTGACATATGGTAAGAGTAACCTCCCTTTCCAGCATCAAGTCATTGGAGCTAAACAATCAGTCTGCCTGCCCCTCAACTACACCATCCTCCCACAGGAGCTGAAGAAACTCGGCTACGCCACACACATGGTTGGCAAGTGAGTACACAATCTTAACACCTCAACAATCACGTCAAACAAGTACAGAATGACTTTGGCAAGGAATGATAAGGAATGCTTGACTTTTCCTGAATCTTATATTGAAGACATGTATCCATATGTCTCATTCTTTACTCATTAAGCAATCAGTGATAATTTGGGGGGGGGGGGGGGGGGGGGGGGAGAGGGGGGGGGGGGGGGGGAGGAGGGGCTTGGTCTGTCAGTTACGAAAAAGTGGTAAATGTCTTCCCCCTCACAGGCTCAAATATTACTGTTTATAAACCTCCAGTGATGCATTTCCATTACTACAACAGGTTGTTCTTTTCTCCGAAAATCGCTCTGCCCACAGGGTTTTCTACAGAAGATCCCTCTGCCCACGGGATTTTCTACAGAAGACCCCTCTGGCATTTTGAAAAAAAATAAAGTTTTTTCATCAACGTTTATTTCATGAAATGTTTACAGAAGTCTACGCGATGTGGACATTGAAAACAATAGGACGTCCACTTCTGGTTGGCTCATCTGGAGTTACTGGCGACTGTGTAGGCGTTAGTTTTTCCGACTTGTCAGAAATAGTCACGCATCTCCGTTTCGGATCGGCACCACAGATAATTGCAGACACTGCCGACTTCTGTTGATCAGATGTACGCTTGTACGACCACACAGCTTCACTTCGGTACCCTGAAATTAAAATTAATATGTTAAAAACTGGTTTCAATGGCACATTCATTTGCAGAACAGTAAACAAAATTGAAAATTCACAACGTAAACGACTATCGTATTGTTCCGTTCCCATTGACAATCAAGGCACTGCTTCAGGTTCTAGATCTTGTTTCATGCCTAAATTAATATGTATTATCGACAGCAGCATTGTACTCACCATAGAAAGAGGACGGAGTTATAAAAAGACCGTCTTCGTCGCTCCCCTCATTGTGCAAGTTGCGTCAAAACTGACTGCAGCTGAACACACGTGATCCCAAGTCATAGCATCTAGCACGCACTGCATGCACTCCACATGCACGATCACGCGAAGCGGTTGCGTTCGAGCTGTACGCATTTGACTGATAACTTTCGACTGCTACAATTGAAATTTCAGAATTAAAGTTATGTCATGTAAACAAAAAATCTTCCTCATATCTGTCGGTTTATAAGTCAGATATTAACCTTCTCCTATGGCTATCCGTGAAAATAATGCACTCCAGTGCAGGAAAAGCCCATGGGCCTACGGTCCGCGGGCTTTTCCTTTGCCGGACTGCATTATTTTCATGGATAGCCCGCGAGGGCGGTTTATATCCTATACCTATATTGGCTCTCACTCATAATGAATTCAGTTAATAAGGGACAAACCAAACTGATTATCACGAACACAGCAATTGTTAACGTAACCCTGATTAATCGTATACTTTGAAACTGCTTCGTTTTCTTCAGTAAGAATACTCACAAGAATTTCGAACCACATAATTCAAAATACTTCGAAGATCCATCGAAATGTGAATACAGGATGACACATTGTCCACTCCAGATGGCACCTGGGTTTCTGTGAGTGGGGATGCACACCAACATACCGGGGCTTCGATACTTTCTTCGGCTACTATAATTCAAAGGAGGACTATTACTTGCATAATATTTGTAAGTACAACACTAAACCCATCCACAATGGGGGTATGCGTTCTACCCATGTCAGGAAGTAAACCAAACCACATTACTGACACAGGTCGACACATAATGTGTCTGAAAAGGGGGCGGGGCTTGTACCACCTGAATCCCACTTGATCCAGATACACACTTGACTTGTCTGTCTAGTCATTGGTGTAGTCTACTATTTCTTTCACTATGCGGTAGATATTGCACTTTAGACTTTTAGACGATCAAATCAATTATCAAACCAACTGGTAAAACTAAAATAAACGTTTATTTCCATCAAAAGATCCAGTCAAAAGATTTGCATGGTTACACATATCGTCACGTGTGTGTTTCAGCCGGGTTTTTAGACTTCAGGAACAATAAGGAAGCGGAATGGGATTACCAAGGGACATATTCAGCGGTAAGACTGGTTTACATATGTTGCATTAACCTTTGAAAGTTAAATACAAGGATACCTAAACGTCATTCTGGGTGAAATCTATCTTTAGTCTAATATCAGTAATGTGCTTAAGCGGGTCTATCAACGTGGCACGTCACATCGCGCTGGTTTTATTTGTTCTTTTGTGTGTTGTGTAACGCCGCTTTCACCAATATTCCAGCTATATAACGGCGGTCTGTAAATAATCGAGTCTGGACCAGACAATCCAGTGATTGACATCATGAGCATCGATCCACGCAATTTGGATACGATGGCATGCATCAACCACGTCAACGAGCCTGACCATCCCAATCCCGTTAGTCGCCTTTTACGACAAGCATCGTCGCCTTTAACGGCAAGCATGGGTTGCTGAAAACCTGTTCTACCCTGGATCTTCACGGGTCAATCGCTTCTCTCACTTTGTTTTCCTTCTGACCCAGACGTGTTTGGTGTTAGACAAGGGGCCTCTACCGATCAATATCAGGCCCCTTGTATTGTCCACAGAAAGACTGAAATGTTGCTGTCAGTGGGGGTTCGATCTGTACTAATGCTACCACTTGTTTCTGCTTCCCCTCACGATCCAGTGGGTGTTCACAGAGAAGATCGTTGACGTCATCAACACCCATGACAAGAGCCAACCACTGTTCCTGTATCTGCCCTTCCAGAACGTTCACGCCCCGACAGAGGTGAGACATTGCTTGGTACAACAGCAGCTGTAGAGGAAACAGTTCAGGAACATCTTGTCACGTGACACTCCACCTGCCCAACTAACAGTCATGGCAAGATTCATGTCGATTGATCACAATTTACTTGTTGTTAGCTCCACTTTTGTGATGTAGTTCCATCTAGCAGTCGATATTTGATTATCCTATTACTAAGAGACATAGTAGTTACAACGTTTACCCAAACTGGAAATTCTCTGTCCTGTGGAACAAAGTACCCCGATAGTACCAACAACCACCTTATACAGATCACGTTGCATATAAACATAGCTAGTTTAATATCTGGTGCCTATATAAACTGCCTGGCAAAAAAAACTATAAACACATGTTTGGTGGAGGCTACAAATATAACAAACAAAAATGGTTATTCGGTAATGTCTTTGAAACAGGTATCATAGTTGTGTTTCGACGAATGTTTTCAGCCTAATGTGGTTTTGATGACGTTTGTAATTATTTGGGCAGATCCAAATTTCAAGTGTATACTTTCCTTTGTGTAGATGAAACATGTCCATACAAGTCTTTTTTATTTGTACAAAATATGTGTCTGGGAAAATGTATATGAATAATGTGATATTAATGCTGTCATATTTTCTGATACTGGTGTTAATCAGCTGCCAAATGATAATTTTGATGGGTTTTTTTCAAATGCTATATGATACATATGCTATTCACCTGTTATATGATATACGTACGTATATCATATTCACATGCTATATTATATAGATGTTATTCGCCTGTCATATTGTTTAGATGTAATTCACCTGTTATATGAATAGATGTTACCACCTGCATGCATATTTTGTTCACAATCAGTATAATCTGAACGTCACTATGTTGCAGGTCCCCAAGATATATGAAGATAGGTTCCCACATGTTGTGAATAAGGGAAGGCGTGTGTTCAGTGGTGAGTATTAACCGCCCTTGAGACATGTGACCAGCCAATGCATGATAACCTTGATGTAAGCCTTCTGTGGTCGCCCTGTGATCTACGATGTTGGATCTCCCTGTGTACAGTTACGTCCCCTACACGTACCAGGATTCCCTGGTCATGGTTTAATTCCAATCTCAGATTCATAACGATTATGACCCTTGGTGACAGCACTATACCCGAGCTGATAGGTTTCACCAATCACGTTGACGCCGACTACCCGCGTGACCTTGACCTTTCCTGCCATTGATTAGCGCACTATGATATGAACAAAAGATAATGTTCAGGCGGCGTTTAAATCCAACACACTTTGAGTAGACATACTGATATGATAGTACGCAATTAGTTTAACTGATTCGCAATGACGACCAAACAGAGGATAACGAGGCATGCATTACATACAATAGAACAGACAGGATAGGAAGTCAGATCCTTTAAAGTGAAAAAACTGATAAAGTGAAAACACATGTTGGAGGTGATTTGCATATACTGTACATGCTCTTGGACCAATCAGATGTAATGACTTGCACATACCTACTCATGGACCAATCAGATGGGATGACTTGCTCATGAACCAATCAGATTGGATGACTTGCTCATGAACCAATCAGATGTTGATTTGCATATACTTACTCATTTAACATGACCTTGTATCATGGACGTTCAGAGTTCATATTAGTTCAAACAGGTGCAGTGATTCAGGTTGATACGACAAATGCCTTTGTATATTGTTAGCGTGCGTCATCATTATGAGGATATTTACAACTTTGCAGGTATGGTGAATGCCCTTGATGAAGCTATAGGGAACGTGACTGACGCCTTGAAGGAGAGAGGGCTGTATGACAACACACTGTTCCTGCTCACAGCTGATGTACGTGACTACCTTTGTTTGTTGTTCAACGCCGAACCCTGAATATTCCAGCTAGATGATGGTGGCCTGTACATTATCATAGATCAGAAAAAAACAGTGATTGATATCATGAGCAACGTCCCACAACCTCATGTACGATGACATGACCAAGTCACCGAGCTTGACCCGTCGATCCATTTAGTGGATCCTTTACGACCAGCATACATTGTTGTTTAACGCCTCACTCAGCAGTATATATGACGACGGTTTGTAAATAATCGAGCCTGGACCAGACACTCCAGTGATACTGACATCATGAAAATCGATCTACGCAATTCGGATACGATACCAAGTCAACGATCCCGAGCCCTTTATACTCCATATTCCAGAGTAGACTATATATATATATATATATATATTATATTATTTGCAGTTGGTATATTGTAAAAACTGTATGACATATTGTACATTGTGTTTTAAGTTGTAAGTGTTGACATGTACCTTGAAAGCGTGTTGTTGCAGAACGGAGGGGAGATATTTAGTCACGGCAACAACTGGCCCCTGAGAGGAGGCAAGCACTCTCTGTGGGAGGGGGGTACGAGGGTGACGGCGTTCATGTCGGGGGCGGGACTCCAGAAGACGGGCTACACGTATGATGGGTAAGTGACCTCTCATGAATACCATTTCTTAGCTTGAATTGTGGAAACAGCCTGTTAGTTACTGCATTCGCTCGTCACGCTAAAGACCCTGGTTAGAATCTTAATTACATTAGTACAATGCTTGAAGACAGTCTCTGGTGTTGCCCATACATTTTGCTGGCAGAGAATGGTTCATTTATGTTGCTGGTTGACGTCATGTATGTTGCTGGTTGATGTCATGTATGTTGCTGGTTGATGTCAAGTATGCTGCTGGTTGATGTCATGCATGTTGCTGGTTGATGTCATGCATGTTGCTGGTTGATGTCATGCATGTTGCTGGTTGATGTCATTTATGTTTCTGGTTGACGTCATGTATGTTGCTGGTTGATGTCATGTATGTTGCTGGTTGATGTCAAGTATGCTGCCGGTTGATGTCATGCATGTTGCTGGATGATGTCATGCATGTTGCTGGTTGATGTCATTTATGTTGCTGGTTGACGTCATGTATATTGCTGGTTGATGTCATGTATGTTGCTGGTTGATGTCATGTATGTTGCTGATTGATGTCATGCATGTTGCTGGTTGATGTCATGCATGTTGCTGGTTGATGTCATGTATGTTGCTGGTTGGCGTCATGTATGTTGCTGGTCGGTGTGAGTGTTGTACAATGGTCTATGTCATACTGAGATGTGTAATGGCGTCCACTTAAACCAACAGAGAGTCAAATAGTTATATAAATACGCATTTACTTTTATACGTTACATGATTCTGAAGTCATGCTTTAAACGAGAATGTAGTGTGACTTTCCCTCACGCCTCTTTTTAAATAATCAGCGTTACTTTCTGTTTAGAATGATCCACGCTGTAGACTGGCTACCGACTTTGGTTTCCGCCGCCGGAGGAACGCCGGGTAATTGTGATAACATACTGTGTAAAATGTATGTGTATACTTAATGAAACAAAATAGTCTTGCTAGTAATTATATAAGTATTCAAGTTCTGAACAGGACTTACAGGTTGGTATGTGCAGTGTCTGTTTTAACAAGATGTCCTGCCATGAATCTAGCGTCAGTTCACATGTCTACATGTTACATCCCCAGATCCAGACGGAACCGTTCCAATCCAATCGTCCATATTAAATTGACCACCAATGAAGATTATTGCCCCTTGTTTGATCCGTCTTGTCACAGTAAAGGTAGTGTGTGTTTATGTGATGCAGTGACCGACAGAGACGGGATAGATCAGTGGGACTCTATCAGGAATGGCCTCCCGTCCAAGAGAACCGAGTTCATCTACAATCTGGACTACCTTGTTATACCGAAAGAAGGCCAAGCTGGCATCAGGTAAGAGACTGAAATATAACACAGGAAGTAAGTAGATCAGGGCAAAGGTAAGTATGCCGAGTTTGTGTTTTGTGTAATTGAAAATTGAAAGAACTATATTCGGTTATGTCTATTTAACCAGCACTAATTCCTGCAGCAGTTTGTAAAAACAAATGGCAGGGTAGTCTTGTGTAAATATAAATTAGTACAAAGCTAGGGTAAAAAATGAATTTGCAACCAAATGATCCCTACCATGTTTGAAATGAAAATGTGCGCCGAAAAGAGCAAGTCGGTGATTTTCAAAGATAAGATGTCTGACATAGCCATGAACAGTTGTGTATTATGCGAAAACATCTTTTTATTTGACAAATTTAGAATTTGAATTATTTTTTAAAAATATAACCATACAGAAGTATTCTAGTGCTGCCTAAGCTCCGATAAATTCATTGTTTTATATAAATATGATATTTTAAGATAACTTAAGATGCTTTCAATTGAAAATTAAGCATATGATAAAGTCAACTGCTTCTCAATTTTTTAAACCTGTCGTCCGCAATCAGGATACTACCGTCTTCAAGTCACTTGACCCCACAATAGACGTAAGGCATGCGCCTTTTCAATTAATTAAGCTCCCAACTGTGGAACCATGCAAAATATCTTGCAGTATGTTTGTATGTTTTGTGTGTTTTTTTTAAGGATGGGCAATTACAAACTGCTGCTTGGTTACCCTGGACAACAAGATGGCTGGCACCGTCCCATGAACAACACTGAAGATGATATATACGAAGAAATAATTTATGACCTTGACCCTGATAAAGCACAGTTATTTGATGTAATAGGTGCATATTTAATTATCACATCATCACCCAAATTAATATACTTCATACAGATCTATATGGTATTGATGAATACGATGTCTTTATTGTATGTAAGAAATAAATTCACTTGAGAAATACTTATTTTTTACCTCATTACAGAAATATTATAAGGGTAATACTACGTTTGCAAATTTATTTAAATCCTGTGATATTAATGTACTACGGTGGGTAGCTTTATATATATATATATTATTTAAAATGAGGTCGACAGAGATATAACACTCTGGACACGTGACCTAATGTAATATGTACTAGGGGCCATGTGGCCTGAATTACGAAGCCAACAAACAAACAACAAGTGATATACAATCAACACATATGTTACAAAATTAACTAGGTTCACAAATCAATACAAATTACTACTACTTCGCGTAGCTAGATGCTCACGATGTCGATCACTTGACCCAGTCAAGCTCTCACCAATGATTGTATCCGTTTCAGCGGACCCCACAGAGCGACATGACCTGTCCTCCCAACTACCAGACGTTGTTGCAAAGCTGAAGTCTCGCCTTCTGGAGTACCGAAAGCAGATGGTACCCCCCAACTTCCCCGACCCCGATCCACAGTCCAACCCCAGGAATTATGGCAACGCTTGGACGCCTGGCTGGTGCAAACTCTAAGAACTCTCTTCATAATTCTTCATGTCGCGTAACGAGCTTGAACAAGACGTACAAGCTCTCATCATCGAAACATGTTTGCAGTCTGAATATACATACAGTAAACTACGGTTATAACGAACTCAAAGGGACCACTAATTTTAGTTCGTTATAACCGTAGTTCGTTGTAAGCATATACAGAATATGTACAGCAAATGGTCAGGACAAACAAATCCGTCAGTAAGCATGTTCGTTATAAACGTAGTTTTCTGTACACGCATGTTTGCTTGATCATAAATCAGTGCGGGTTGCTTTAAATGTTCAATGTACTAACGGAGTACCGTTATATGCAACTGTAGCAATACATAACCGCAGCGATTTCAATTATCGTCTGTGGATCTATAATTTAGTTACTGGCTAAAATTGAGTGTGAAATAAACGAACTGAATAGAATTAAAATAGCGGTAGTCTTTTCATTATTCTCTGGCGTCTCACACAGACACACAGACACAGACACAGACACAGACACACACACACACACACACACACACACACACACACACACACACAAATAAAATATAACCAGAGTTGTCTCCCTTGGTAAACAAGCCAGTGCAACGAACGCTGATATTCTAAAGGACATCTCCTTCCAATAGCAATGCGAAGGGTGGGTATTCCAGAAAACCAATGATCCCAAACAAAACAGAGCGAAGCATTCTCGGGAATGGTTTAAGGAGCATGATGTTACACTCCTGGAATGGCCCAGCTAAAGTCCGGGCCTGAACCCGACTGAAAATATTTGGGGAAACATGAAGGACAATGTCAATCAAAACAAGGCAAACGGTGAACAGTGCTCACTAACACCCCCTATTCAAAACGTGAAAAAAAACCATATTTTCTATGGAAATCCACTTATTAAAGTCAAACTATGCACTGTACCTCTCCCATTGGTATAGAAGATGTACTCCGATTTGAAAATGAGTCCATTCAGTAGTTGAAGTAAAAAAATTCTATGTCCAAAACATATAGAAATTATAGTTTTCAGAAAATATACTTATCATATTTGCACTGCACCTCTCCTAATAGTATAGAAATAGTTCCTGTAATTTGAAAAGAATCCATGCAATAGTTTTCAAGTTATATGTCGCACAAATGTTTAAGTAAAAACATCTTAACACAAAAACTGTAAAGAAAAGATGTATTTCTTCTGATAGTCCAAATATTTAAAATCAAACTTTGCACTGCACCACTCCTATTGGTATAGAAAGGGTTCACCACGTTTGAAAATAATCTTTGCGCTAGTTTTCATGTTATTGGTCGCACAAAAAAATGTCCTCTGAAGGACTAGCGCACGGAATTCCTTGGTATAATTATATACTCGCGCTTCTTTGGTATAATTATATACTACACTCGAGGTTCGAGGTATAACAATCGAATGGTATGGGGATGGGATTACAGCAAGACAGAGGACCCGTATTATAGTGGTAGAGGGAAATCTCAATGGACAGCGCTACCGCGACGAGATCATCGGCCCTGTTGTTCTAACGTTTTTGCGTCGTCATGGCCCAGGCATTTCCTTTTAACATGACAACGTCCGGCTTCATATTGCTCGACTTGTTCAGGATTCTCTTCAACAAAACAACGTGAACTTCGAAACATGCTCCAGCAGGACTTTGTACGACGCCTGGTCCATTCCATCAGACGAAGATGTGTTGCTTGCATCGCAGCCAGAGGTGGACACACGCTATTGATTTGTAAATTCACATTTTGGCATGTTCATGTTTTTATTATGTAATCACGCATTTTCTGAAGTCAGTATGGCAAATTAAACCATTTGAACACTTACAAGAGTCTTTTATCTGTTGCAAACCGAAATTGTTTCAGAATTGGTAAAAAACATAAGTTTGCATTTAATCTTATTCAATGTCACAGGAACTTTTGTTGTTCAGTATATTTACAAAATGTCCAGGGGAATATAGTTTAGATTCAGAGATCTTACTTGGTTTTCGGTGAATGCCTTTATATCATGTGTCGCAAAGTGCTATCGCTAATAAAAGTTATAATTGTAAAAAAATAATTTTTCAGTGATCTTTTGGGGAAATTGTAAACGCTGAAAAAATATCGGTGGTCTGCAGAAGGACACGGATCCGGAATGGTTTCTGTTACGCGTACTGTGATGGCGACCATGAAGGGCGAGATGAACAAGGGGTAGCTCTTTAGCCAAATATCAGGCTAACATCAGTACATTTAGTCCACCAAGCAAGTCATAAAGCTCAATCAATGGCCTTAAAATCTATAGCTAGTATGTTAAAATGTTCTCGGTAGTGTCAAGAAAAGCACGGAGCCGATTCGGAAGCATGGACTACAGACAACAAATTCTCTCAGTTGACAAGGAAGGTTCTCTACAAGGTTACTTTAAACATATTGATAAAAACTTAAAATCTATATACAAACATGAACAACAATACGTCCGATTTTTAGTCACGGTAATATATGGTCAGAAATTTGAGAATTGAATGATAAACTTATAAACTCAGACGATCAGTTGGATAATCCTGACACTAGAAGTCGTAGAATTAATTATCTCTTTTGGAGATTCTGCTGCCAAACCATCTCCTCTGAAGTACTCAAAATAACCGTCTTCAAATTTCGCGCTAATTTGTTTAATTGGAGCACGTCTTATTTTCAGCCAATCAGAGGACTCGTTCGATTCTGACCGCGGCTGAACATCTAGTTCCGCTCGCCTTTTGTGACAATTATCCAAGCTCGCTGCATAGACTATCGATATTTCGTATGTGAGTGGCTTAAATCGAGTGTACATGACTTGTACAGGTAGAGAAAGTACTTATCTATCGATTTACGGTTATTGTGTTTGTCAATAAGCGAATGAGGTGCCTTTCAATACTTATATATGTTGGGGGATATATATTCATATTTACTGACCAGTAGCGAGTTCCTGTGGCGTCGAACTGTTAACTGCGTGATACAATCCAGACCACGTATAAGTCAGTAAGTATGAGAACATGTCATAAGGGCATGTCTATCATAATGCAAAGTGATACAGGGTACCAGTACATCATGCATTGTGTGGAAGAAAGTCCATCTGTTTGGCGGCTACAGTGTTGTGATAGCTGTTTTTTAAAAAAAAAAGAATATCAAAGGGCACTAAACCAATGTCACTCCCTCACTATCTAAATCAACAATAGAGGTTGTAATATTTTCCACTCTCATGATCAGAACTGTAACTCTGCGTTTCCGCACGTCCTGTCCTGTTCGGGCTATTGTCAGTATTCTCATATGTCCATATAATCATCACCAGAGATGTCTGCTATTGATAAAGATGCTGATGTTGACGGCACATCAGCACTGAAAGAATATTTATGTATTCCTTGAGAGTGATCATGACAATGCCAAGATGAAATATTCTCGGGTTATATCACTAATCATGATGCGCTGAAAGTGTTTTGATCCGGATTCCTTGTTTGTTGTTTAACGCCGCACTCAGCAATATTCCAGCTATATGACAGGGTCTGAATAATCCAGTCTGGACCAGTCATATCCAGTGATTGACGCAATTGGGACACGATGACATGTACCAACGAAGTCAACGAGCCTGATCATTTACTGAAGACCTATTCTTGTGTCTCTTGAGTGTCTGTACATTTCAGATCCCGAAGTGCATGCATGTCTGGTGTGCGTCCCTTTAAATCTGGCCTTCATGCAAGTACTCTAATCGGAGTTTGTATGGAAAATAACGATACATCATATACCCTCAAACCTCGTCATGTCGAGGTAAATATCACAGTGGGTACTGTCCAGCGAGAAAAAGGTAGTCGCTACCAGTCCTACCAACTTCCGGTTTGGCATGGATACCCTCGGTTGGTTATATGCCGGCGGTAGGTAATCGAGACTATCCCGGGATTGACAACATGAGTATCGATGTACTATCCTCACCCGGTATTGCCACTGCACAGTAATACTAGTTTGCCTGTATTTCAGATATGCCAATATGACGGAAGATATTTTCAGAAAAAAATCTTTTTATTAGAAATGACGTTTACAACCGCCATCATAATGTGTTGTGCAATCACCAGTAGAGTTGTCGGCCTCGGGGCTTGTTTCCCGGGTGTTGTCGGGCGTCGTTTCCCGCTTGTCGGGGTTTGGCGCCGTTTGCCCGATTTTCAGGGATTGCTGTCGTCTATCTGCCCTCCCCCGTCATCCGGGTCGTCGTGCATTTCGTGATGAACGTCTCTAGATTCACGGATCGGATCTGATGAAAAACAATTACAATGTAACCTGTACCACTCGAAGTTGTCCGGATATTCCAATGTACGGATATTCCAATGTACGGATATTCAAATGTCCGGATTAACAAGTCTGGAAGCGTACACTACCCAATAGTGCTGAGTCAAACTATTTTGTAAAAATAAAACTGTCAAACATTGCAGTCCATCGTCCATACGAAGATCAACGATTACGAGCCATTACTGCATATTTTTCAAAAATGATGAAATATCGTTCGACTCATCACTTGTTTGGTTAGTAGAACATGTCATCATTTTAATAGTCAAGATAGCAGGGCCTCCGAACACGAGGTTTCCCTGTATATCTGGGTATACACAATGTCATCGTCTGGTTCAGACTCCATTATTTACAGACGGCCGTCATATAGCTGGAATATTGCTGAGTGCGGCGTTACACAACAAACAAACAAACAAACAAACAAACTGTAAATCATGTCTGGGCAGACAACCCAGTGGTTGATAGCATAAGCAACGTGCCACAATAGGACAGTCGCATGTCACAGTCTCATTCTCTGAGAAGCACCGATAGCTGGGGAATCCCGCACGGTTCGCATGGGGTTAGCAGAAACAAGGATTCGATAAGCGTACATCAACATGTTGCATCCTTACTCAAACAGCGACATGATAACCGCAGCAGAATCTGTGGAGGCTTGCAGGACAGCGTGCAGTTCCCTGTCAACAGAATTCACCATTAAACATAGGATCGCAGTGAGTGAGTGAGTTGGGTTTAACGCCGCGTTGAATAGCATTATTGTTATGTCAGGGCGTGTCAGTTTAATCTGGGAGGTCTCAGACGTTTAGCACTTTGGTGAAAATGACGAGCACGAGTATGGTGTTGACAAACCTAGGGACATAAGCGAGGCGAACCAGGATTCGATCATAGGTTTCTGGCGTCCCAAGGAACTATAGCATATATATGAACCAA